CTAGCAATAGCAATAAGACAACATAAGGAGATCAAGGGGATTCGTATTTTAAAGGAAGAAGTTAAACTTTCGTTATTTGCAGATGATATGATAGTATACATAAGTGACCCCAAAAATTCTACCAAAGAACTCCTACAACTGATAAACACCTTTAGTAATGTGGCAGGATACAAGATCAACTCCAAAAAATCAGTTGCCTTCCTATACACTAAGGATAACTAAGCAGAGAGGGAAATCAGAGAAGCATCACCTTTCACGATAGCCACAAATAGGATAAAATATCTTGGGGTAACTCTGACCAAGGAAGTGAAAGATCAATTTGATAAGAACTATAAGTCTTTGAAGAAAGAAATTGAAGAAGACACCAGAAAATTGAAGGACCTCCCTTGCTCTTGGATTGGGAGGATCATCATAGTAAAAATGGCAATTCTACCAAAAGCAATCTATACATTCAATGCAATCCCCATCAAAATCCCAACAAAATTCTTCACAGATCTGGAGAAGACAATAATCAACTTTATATGGAAAAACAAAAAACCCAGGATAGCCAAAACAATTTTATACAATAAAAGATTGTCTGGAGGCATTACCATCCCTGACTTCAAACTCTATTACAGAGCTACAGTATTGAAAACATCTTGGTATTGGCATAAAAACAGAGAAGTCGACCAATGGAATCGAATAGAGGACCATGACTTTAACCCACAAACCTATGAACACCTGATTTTAGATAAAGGAGCTAAAAGTATACAATGGAAAAAAGAGAGCATCTTCAACAAATTGTGCTGGCAAAAGTGGATGCCAATCTGTAGAAGAATGAAAATAGATCCATATCTATCACCATGCACAAAACTCAAGTCCAAATGGATTAAAGACCTCAATATCAGTCCGAACACACTGAACCTGATAGAAGAGAAAGTGGGAAGTACTCTACAGCACATGGGCACAGGAGACAACTTCCTATGTATAACCCCAGCAGCACAGACACTAAGGGCATTGTTGAATAAATGGGACCTCCTGAGACTGAGAAGCTTCTGTAAAGCAAATGACACTGTCACTAAGACAAAAAGGCAACCCACTGACTGGGAGAAGATTTTCACCAACCCCGCAACTGACAAAGGTCTGATCTCCAAAATATATAAAGAAATCAATAAACTAGACCGTAAAAGGCTAATCAACCCAATTATAAAATGGGACACTGAGCTGAACAGAGAATTCTCAACAGAAGAAGTTCAAATGGGCAAAAGACACTTAAGGTCATGCTCAACTTCCTTAGCTATCAGGGAAATGCAAATCAAGACAACTTTAAGATACCATCTTACACCTGTCAGAAGGGCTAAAATAAAAAACACCAATGATAGCCTTTGCTGGAGAGGTTGTGGAGAAAGGGGTACACTCACCCATTGCTGGTGGGAATGCAAACTTGTGCAACCACTCTGGAAAGCAGTGTTTTGGTTTCTCAGGAAATTTGGGATCAACCTACCCCTGGATCCAGCAATACCACTCTTGGGATTATACCCAAGAGAGGCCCTATCATACAACATAGTATATGCTCAACTATGTTCATAGCAGCATTGTTTGTAATAGCCACAACCTGGAAACAACCTAGATGCCCTTCAATGGAAGAATGGATGAAGAAAGTATGGAATATATACATATTAGAGTATTACTCAGCAGTAAAAAACAAAGACTTTTGAATTTTGCATACAAATGGATGGAAATATAAAACACTATCCTGAGCGAGGTAAGCCAGACCAAAAAAGAGGAACATGGGATGTACTCACTCATATTTGTTTTCTAGCCTTAAACAAAGGACATTGAGCCTATAGTGAGTGATCCTAGAGAAGCTAAATAAGGAGAACCCAAAGAAAAACCTATAGGCATCCTCCTGAATATTAACCTTCATCAGGCCATGAAAGGAAACAGAGACAGAGACCCACATTGGAGCACCGGACAGAAATCCCAAGGTCCAAATCAGGAGCAGAAGGAGACGAAGCACGAGCAAGGAACTCAGGACCGCCAGGGGTGCACCCACACACTGAGACAATGGGGATGTTCTATCTGGAACTCACCAAGGCCAGCTGGCCTGGGTCTGAAAAAGCATGGGATAAATTTGGACTAGCTGAACATAGCGGACAATGAGGAATACTCAGAACTCAAGAACAATCGCAGTGAGTTTTTGATCCTACTGCACGCACTGGCTTTCGGGGAGCCTAGGCAGTTTGGATGCTCACCTTATGAGACCTGGATAGAGGTTGGCGGTCCTTGGGCTTCCCACAGGTCAGTGAATCCTGATTGCTCTTCCAGCAGACGAGGGAGGGTGACTTGACTGGGGGACGGGGAGGGAAATGGGAGGCGGTGGTGGGGAGGAGGCAGAAATCCTTATTAAATAAATAAAGTAAAAAAAAAGAGTAGATTTAAACCAAAAAAAAAACACAAATAAGAAAGATGGTCATTATATTTTAGGCAGCATTTTTGTCTCCCACTGTCTTGAAATTGAGGTGATCTTCAAGAACTGTTGATTAGTTGTGTTTTAACAGATATATGAAATATAAAAAATATGCTTTCATCCTTCCCTTCCCATGATCCTACAACTGCCCCATACACCTGGGTTGCTAGTCAATATTGATGCCCCTCCTCAGCAACTTTGTCTAAATGGAATCCCCAAGTCTTTATTCATTGTTAATCCAAGATCTTCTATTTCAGCTCCCAATCCCTCTTCATTTAGATTTCCCAATTCATATCATAGACTTACATATGTTCATTGTCTCATTAAATCGACACACCAATATAATGACCTATCTTGCACCTATCACTCCCATAACATCTTCCCTAAGGGGTCTCACAAAGTCCCACTTGTCAGTAACCTGCTGTTCTCTGTCTCTTCTCCCAGCCACTCTCTTTGCAGGAAACCATCAGTTGCACAACCTGGTTAGAAAATCCAAGTAGTAAATTTGCTCTCTTGACATCTAATCTCTTCTCAAAATGCAGCTGTCACCCCATCTATTACCGTGGACATGTTCTACTGATTCACCCACACGCAAATTGCACAGTGCCCTGCTTTCTACCTGACAGATGACCCATGTATGCCTAAGAGAACTCCTGTATTTACCTTGCAAATCCTTACTATTCCCTGGGCACCTCCACAACACGATCAACCACCTCAAGTCTGTAGCTCCTCTCCTAGACCCCATATGTCAGCAATTGAGCTGGTGGCAAGCTGCATTTATTTTCAAGGTACTTCATTGTGGTTCGAAATAAAGTGTGGATAAACCTTCATAACCATTTCTATTTCTAAAGTTTGCCTTGCCTACCCATTTCTTTCATATTTAGTAGTATCTTCCTTAAGCATTTTCTTTGGGGATTTATTTTTAAAACAATTCATCTATTCAATGGGTACTATTCTTTCTTCATTTTGAGGAATTGCATACCCAAAATATATACAGTTAAATATAATCACATTTGCACCCTATTTCCCTTTCAGCTACCTATAATCATCCCCAAAATAACATTTCACAACTTATTGACCTCTTTAAGTCTAGTTAATGCTACCCATGTGTACATGCTTGTGTAGCCAGGCACTTTAGTATAAGAAACCTACTAATGATCACATTCTCAAAAAGAAAGTGTCTCAATTTTCAGGAAAGATCTATATTCAACAGATTATTAATAAGAAGGAAGGCCTAGAAATAATTCACACAATGGTTTTGACTGGCTTGTTTTTAGGTATGCTTACACAGAAAACAACTACCATTATAAGTTCATGATGTGAGAGTCATTTCAAATCCAAAATTCAGCAGTTCACAGTGCTCTTCTTTATGCTCAACCTCTTATATACTTTCCACTCCCTCTCCTCAGAGTTCTCTGAGTCTTGGAGAATGTAAGTGGAACTAGAAACAGTTATGTCATAAAATATAAACAAATATTGAGAAGGACAAAGACTACCTGTTTCTTTCATATTAATCACCTAGATTTGTTGTGTTAGGTGTGCTGCCATCTGCTTTATAGAACATGTAAGAAGAAGGGGAACCCTAGGAAAGGAAGGCATCTTAAGTGAGAGACAAGGAGAATGAAGCTCAGGGTAATGTTGGTGCTGTTAAAGAAAAAAGTGGCAGTGATGATGAAAAATTGATGAATAAGATGGAAACCAGACAAATGATTAAATAACAACAAGTTCATCATAAAACTTAATCAAAATTCTGGTTTTGATAATTATATTATTAGGTAAATGAAAACAATTCTAACACAAAATAAAGACAGTCATGAGTTGCCTGGTGTAAAGATGGAAGAAGATAACAGCAAAGTAGGAGTTTAAAGGAATCAAAGAGAGAAATTCAGAATGAAAAATAAAATTGCATTTGATGCAAATGGAAATAGGTCTCATTAGCAAGTGCAAAGCAGTGCAGAGAAAGAGTGACAAGGGATATCTCTAGAACATGAGGACACCATGGTCTCAAAATTAAGTAAAATTCAGAAAATTCCCAAGTGTTCTTTCAGCAGAGAGTGAGTTATGTTAACAGCATCTGAATGTTGTGACCTACCTTGTCAAAGAGCCACATCAGGGAGAGTCCATTTCTAGGTCAGAACGTAGGAAAATTTGAGCTCTTATGTAGAAACAAACCTGTGTTTGACACATTTAATTTCATATGTGTACTGAGGAGACCTGATATATATCCGCATGTTCTGTGCACAGTCACATAAAGGAACTAACTGGAGTATTGTGAATTTTTCACAAGAAAAATGTGAATATGAAACTATAATTTTATGTCAATTTCTATAACTTTCATCATTGATTTTGATGCCTTATATCTGTCATGAGCAACACCTTCCTTCAATGCTCCAATTCTAGAGCAACTGCAGCAGGAAGACATGCAAATGAGGCTTCTCTTTGCCAATGAAAACCAGCACTGCCCTGACCCTGCAGTTCAGACAGAGGAGCCCAGACCTGTATTCCCTTGTCCTCCCATTCACTGATCACCACTGATCAAAGATCATTCACCATGACCTTGGGGCTCAGTTGGCTTTTCCTTGTCATTGTTTTAAAAGGTAATTTATGGAGACCATATGCTGTGTGCATTTGTGTACACGAGGAAGAAGAAAATTGGATTCTGTGACAGTTTTCTAATCAGGAATCTCTGTGTTTGCAGGTGTCCAGTGTGAGGTTCAGCTTGTGGAGTCAGAAGGAGGCTTGGTGCAACCTGGAAAGTCCCTGAAACTCTCCTGTGTGGCCTCTGGATTCACCTTCAGTAACCACTGGATGAGCTGGGTCCGCCAGGCTCCAGGGAAGACCCTGGAGTGGGTCGCATCTATTTATGATAGTAATAGCATCTACTACACCGATGCTGTGAAGGGACGATTCACCATCTCCAGAGACAATGCCAGGAACACTGGAAATGGGCAGTTTGAAGTCTGAGGACACAGCCATATATTATTGTGCAAGAGACACAGTGAGTGAAAGCTACTGTGAACTCAGACACAAACCTCCATGGAAAGTGCTTAGGACCAGCAGGTGGCGCTGACAGCACACAGACCTCTGGGCCACAGAGGCGCCTGATCAGAGAGGCATAAAGAGATGGACTCCTCTGTGTCTGGGCTGCATCTCCATATCACATTCTAAGATTCTCTCTACAGTAATCTTTGAAGTGTTCACAGTTTTATTCAAATATCTATTTTACATTGTGACATGCTTCTCTGTTTATTGTACTGTTTTGCCCTCTATTTCTTTATCTCTCTATCTCTCTCTCTCTCTCTCTCTCTCTCCCCCTCTCTCTTTCACCAGGCACTGCTCTTCTTCCCTTTCTGCCTCCTTCATCAAGCAGGGCAGAAGTGGTTATGTTTAGTGAAGTGTCAGATTGTGAAGAAGAAGAATAACCTGGAAAATGTTAGCCCTAGACTCAGGGCAGCTCAAAAACATATGTGAGTCCAGAGAACCTTGTGCCCTCTTTTTGTCTCCATGATAACTACACTACCCACATATAAGTGTATATATATACACTTAAAAATAAACTATTTCTTTAAAAATTCATTCAGTTCTGGGAGTTATACCAATGGCTAAGTTCTCGTGTAGTATGTATGAATCCTTGATCCAAATCATAATATTTAAAAAATGTAGCCTAAATTTTGATTAATAAATATTGTGTTTGTAGCATCAATCCTCCTTGTTAAAGGCTAGAACACCATTTATCTCATTCAAGATATCAGTCTTATTTTTCTTCCCACAAAAAAATCTCATTCCTCTCGCTTGTCTGAGAATTGGGTCCACAAGGTATAACAAGCTCGGGGAACACATGTGAAAGGTGATGCCCTCCTGGGCAGACAACTTCCTTCCCTCCATCCTCTGATTGCACTCCTTCATATTGACAAATTCATGTAGGCGGAAGACATTGCATAGGCCAACATCTCCAATAACCAGAGACACGGATATTAAAACCTAAATGATAAGTTGCTGTAACCAATGGTGCAAGTGCCATTTGCCAAAGGAAAGTATTGAAATGAGTGTGGGGGATATAGAGGAAGGATTCATGTACTGTATTCATATGAACATGGCTCTTTGGTGACATTGGCAAACACTATGGTGGTCCCTCAGAGGTTTACACATGTAAGACCGTGTTACCCAGAAATCTCACTTCTGGTGAGCAGACGAAGGAAGCAAAGAGGAAGGAATAGGAGCAGAGGAGGAGGGAAGAGAGAAGAGACATGAGAGTGGAAGAAGACAGAACAGTCAAAGTAGTGAGAGGAAAAAGAGAGAGAGTAGTCTGATGAATGGATATAATCACAGAACATTATAAACAAGCATGATGTTGACATTATAAGTAGGATGAATGACAGATAGAACCAGAACATTCTCAAGCAACACAAGTTGCTAATACACATCTATCTCTCTTTTCTTGTATGCCTATAATTGTGCAGGTTGATCTCTGCTTTGTTTCTGGGTTTCTGTCTGAGTGCCTGTGTGTTTACTTAGGAGATGCTTATTTTCTCATAATATTACATTACACAGGTTACCACAGCATCCTTGGACAAGTGAACCCAGGTCATGAGTCCTATGGGACTAGGAGTGGAAATTTGCTTTCAGGTTCTGGGCCTTCTTTCCCTGAACCAGCCTCTACAGACATACCAGTTCCTCTTCCTGCCTAAGATTCCTAGTGACTCTGTGAATATCAGAGACTGAAACACAGAGCAGTAGATTCTGAATTTCTCTTTTCAGTGTGGGGCAGACACTGCAATGCTCATGTGCACAATCTGCTCTTATTTTCCATGTTCACAGTAGATGATTATGTCATCATTTCATGTGGTTCAGACTCTGGATAGGAGCCAGCAGTTAGAGATACAATTTCTTCCTTCCCCTCTTCCCCGTCCTCTTCCTGAGATAGTTCTAAACATATACAACTATGAGTTCAATCCAGAAAAAAGGAAATGTTTGAATGAATTAAAATGCTCATTGCTGATACTGTGTCTTCATATGTGTATGTTTGCATATGACTGTGTAGGCCACATGATGATTAGGAGAGTCTTCCTCAATTGCCCTTTAACTTATTTTTTGAGACAGATTCTCACACTGAAACTGGAGCTCACATGTTTAGATAGAATGTTTAGATATAAGTCCCAAAGTACCTCCTGTCACAATCAACCAAGTGATGGGAATATAAGTATAAACCATCAAACCCATGTTCCTAGTTAAATACTGAGAATCAAACTGAGATACTCATACTAGGAGGCAAGCACCTTACTCCCTAGCCATCTCCTTAGCACTGGATATTATCATTATATATTGTATATGTTAATAAGAATATTGTAATCTATAAAAGGAACAAATGTATAATGATTTTAAAGGACAAATATTTTGGTAATTATGGATTTTTAAACCATTTATTGCCTAGATAAAAATGAAAACCATGAGGCAAATCCCTTCAATGTCCTAAAAATTCTTCCAGTTGTGCAACTGGGTAATGTGATGAAGAGGAAGAACCTGGGAAGGAATGAAAGAGGGTAATAGTAATCAGAACATATTGAGTGAAAATATTTTCAAAAAATAAATAATTAATTTTTAAGACTTTATGTCAATGTCAGGAATAGTGATGCATTCATTTAATCCAGTTACATGGGGCAGTGGCTAGAAAATGTTTTATTGTTCAATATCAGCTTGGTCTACATAGTGAGTCCAGGTCAACCAAAATGTGCCAGTCAAAAGAAATTAAGAAAGAAAGTCAGCACTTCTACCAGTGAATATGTAGAAGGAGCAGTGGGCTGCGTCCTGCCACCTAGCCCCCACTTGGCTAGCTTACATCCGGAAATAATAACACACAAATTGTATTCATTTAAACACTGCCTGGTCCATTAGCTCTAGCCTCTTACTGGCTAATTCTCACATCTTGGTTAATCCATTTCTCTTAATGTGTTTAGCACCACAAAGAGGTGGCTTACCGGGAAAGATTCTAGTCTACGTCTGTAGTGGGTCGGAGAATCATGTCTCACTCACTGCCTTCTTCCTCCCAGCATTCTGTTCTGTTTACTCCACCTACCTAATTTTCTGTCCTATCAAAGTTCCAAGGCAGTTTCTTTATTAACCAATGAAAGTAACACATAGACAGAGGACCCTCCTTTATTATTTCCCCTTTTTCTGTTTAAACAAAAAAGAAAGGCTTCAACACTAACAAAGTAAAATTACATATAACAAAACAATTATCAAGCAAGAATTACAGTTACAATATTTAGATCTATTTTATCTTTTACTATAATAAAAGAAAACTATAACTATAAGTAACCATTCTTCAACTCCATCAAAGACTCCAGAAGGATATAATATTACCTAAGTAAACAAGAAGTAAGCAACTTCCAAATCTCTAGAAATGACAAAGACATCTCGCTGCCTGGAGAGTCACCCAAAGTTCCTCAGTACCATTGGGGCATTCATCTTCAGCCTACAGGCCCATAGTAGCCAGCAGACTTTTCCATGAAGCAGGAAAATTCAAAGACAGTTCAGTCCCTTTTTACTGTGTCTTGCTGAACGTCTCATAGACTCTTTCATGTGTCAGGAACTTCAAAAGACCATCTCACCTTTAGACAAGTTCAGCAGTCCTCTCTCTGTGGTGTATTTTGTGTCCAGTTTATGCAGCAGTCCAGGCAAGAGCAGTTTCTTGTCCAAATGGCTATCAAACTCTATTAAGAACCTCTTCAATGTCCATCTTTCTCTTGAAGTAGACTGGTGCTGCAAAGAGCAGACATGTCTCATTGTCCTGAAAAGTCCTAAGTTATTAAAACATTAAATGTCATATTCTGCAGTCTTTGAAAGATATGAAGAATGCCTATCTAACTGAAATATATCTCTATATATCTGGAAAATCTAACTAACATGACTACAAGCTTGAGTATTATTGATGATTATCCATTTCCATTAACAACTTATATTTCCTAATTAAACATTACATTTTAAAAATGAACTATCCTGTGATACTTTAATCAATATCAGAAATACATATACATATAACAAAATTGACCTTAAAATCCATACCAATTCAAATTACTCATATCTATATCATATACCCCTTTAAACGTAAAAGAACATTTATAAACAATATTTTGAAATATGGACGTAGTTATTTCTCTCCAAACTGCGTCGAGCTGAATGGGGGCACTGTTAATCAGATCTTTTATGGTGTAATCTGTGTGCTAGATTCATCTCAATTAGCAGTTGAGTGAAGTCATTTTTTGAAGGTATTCACAGCAACCTTTCAGGACTGTGTGGTCTATCATACCATATTGGGATAAAAGCAATCCACAGGGTCTCATCCTCTGTGAAAACAAAAGAAGGACTTTTCCAAAGCATCATAACCTTAGATCCAAATTTTGAAGTCAAGGTATTTTCAAAATATCTATCTTGGATTAGTTCGCTAGCATTTATAAACAAATATCTTTTAGCAGCTGTTGCTCCTTCCTCAACATTCAAACAATTCAAAGAGAGCATAATAGCATATAGTATCAAGGTTCTCAGTGTATTTTCCATCTTTGTGTGGCTTTATTTTAACCTATATTTCTTTTATTTTTACTGTTATTTTACGAGACAGGTTCTCTGTATATCTTTGTCCTAGAATAACTCTGTAGACCAGGCTGTCCTTGAACTCACAGTGATCCCTCCGTCTCTGCCTCCCAGGCATTGGGATTAAAGGTGTGTGCTACCACACCTTGAAATCACAGAGGTCAATCTACCCCTGCCTCCCAAGTGTTGGGATTAAAGGTGTGTACTACCACACCCAACTACTGTCTTTCTTTCTTTTTTTAAGAACTTTAACCTTTAGCCTACATATATTTTTAACACACTGTAAACAATTTGAGATATTTTCTTGTATCTCTCTTTACTGTATATCTCCCTTTTTCTGACTACATTAGTCTTTAAGGAGAGGATTAAAGCCATGG